CAATGCCGCCATGCGCTCCATATTACTATATGGATCAGAAACCAGGCCGCTGCGCGCTGAGGACGTCAAAAGACTTTCAGTGTCTTTCGATGTCTTCGGAGCATTGCCCGAAGCTGGTGGGAACACTGGATCAGCAGTGCTCAAGTACGCCGAATGGTATTCGGGAGAAATAACTCACCCTCAATAGATGAACTGATCACACTGCATAGTTTGCGCGGTCTTGGCCACGTGTTGCTATGCCAGTCGACCGACCTCTTCGAAGAGCTCTTTTCGCACAACCACATGAAGGGTGTAAGAGAGCCAGAGGTGGTCAAACAATGACTTGGCAGCGAAGTGTGAAAGCCATTAACAGCAAACTCAGCTGCGCTGTTAATTGCCGTCTTCCTGGATGGGGACCCCGAGACGGTCCACATCAATGGTTAGAGACATTGTCAGACATGGCCCAGTCGCGCCCTCAATGGCGCTCATGCATCAAAGCTATTGCCTTCAATGCATAGCTCCCTTCCCAATTCCCCCAGTTGACAGCCCACTGCCAATGGTGGATTTATGCAACAGTTTATCATCTCCCGCCTGTAATGCGCAGCTACCTACGCCTCCCCCAAATCATCGGTGAACGAAACTGTGGCAGTTACAACCACTGTACGACGAGTACGCGGTTCTTACAGCTGACAATGATGATGACGATGAAAAGTCCAAGCACAAAAATGTGCAGCTTGGGGCAGACTCAAACGTCTGACCTCTCACTTACCGAGTGTAAGTTTCAATCTACCAAATTTCACCATAGAGGCTTCTGAAAAGAGTCAATATGTTTGTACCACGATGATGGGGGGACGTTATTTTGACGGATGGACTGTGCTGTGCCATGTCTAACGTCGATTCAGCCCCCCATTCTAGAATGTGTTAGCTGAAATTGACTGTGACCTGTTTTCAGGACAGTAGGTGAGAAATAACTGATCTGAGTAGCTAGATTGCACGACCTGCATACCAGTCTAACCACACGTGAACATAACTGTTTACTGCAAACTATGAGGTCGTTGGATCACTCCAGTTTTTCGGTTCAGATCTTCACGTGGCCCCTTGCTTTTGACTAGTGGTAGCGATATTTCTGGTCTGGTTTCTATTGGACTACAAATGAGCACCTCATATGTGACGTATAAGGTAGACTACATATCAGCTATCCATCCTAAGAAATCTAGGGATTAAATCCTTAAAATGAAACCTTGGTGAGTGCCCGTAAAACGATGTTGCGTAAGGCTGTTGAACCCATTAGCAACCAACAATTCATCACGCTGCTATTCCGCCAGATTCCGTACATTGCCCTCTTTCTTACCGGTCAAGTCAAAAGCCCCAAATCGAGCCCTTTAAGAATATTTTCCCTTTAGGTCTGGATAGCCTGTCATAAATTTTGGAGTATAGCTCAAACAAAACAAAGTTTCCTCTCTGCGACTGCGAGTGAACTAATAATACCTCTTAGGCCCAACTTAATCTCCCCGAGAAGGGTGCTCTTCCAACACCCGACCATCATGTTAATAAACCTTCCCCTAGATTGCTGCCACCGCGTCACTCATTCTGCTTACAGATCTCAGACACACAGATTAGACAGCAGTTGGCCTTGGTCTGTGAAAGGTGTTAAACGGGAATAGTTCATCGGAAGCTCTTGTACGCTTCAAGCTGAGCTACTCAGTTGAGCTAATTCATTATTCAAGTCAACATATTACGCCACTGTTTTTGCTTGACTAGCTCATCGACAGGTGCGATGGATGTTGAAAAACCCATCAATCAATATGGGAAACCCTCAATTCTTGATTCGAAACCTAGCAAAAGCAGGTTGTGTGGTGACATCCTTCGAATCAAGCTACCGGAGGGAGAGTAAACGTTAATCGCTAGTTGTCTTGGCTTGTGTTCTCCCTAACTGCAACTCTGAAAGAGTCAGGGATGAATTCTGCGGTCCACGTCCCAACCTCCTTCGATAAGCGCCAGAAGTCGACTGCACTATATTGTTCGGGGACCTGGACGAACAAGTCGGCCACTAAGCCTCAGAAGAGTCCCATCTCAGTGGCTCCCATAGTTGAACTGGGGCCTGAAGCCACAATAGCGATATGTTCACGAATATGTCCAGGTATTTTACTCCATCTGATTAGCGCAAACTCGAGACCTGAATGGCAGCTCGCCATTTGGAATCCATCCGCTACCCTAAAATGGACCTAAACTAACGTTGATGACTTTGCCGCCAGCTATGGATGGTGAGGTCGTTTTCAACGTTGCCACCCTAATCATGTGCTCGAAAGTAACTGCGTTTCTTCATGTGACCAACTCGCGAGAAGTATGTACGCTGGAGACTCTTTGATAGGATTCAGCATGGAACTGACCAGGAGGTTGCCTAATGACGGTCAAGTCCTTTGATAGTTTACGGAAAGACTGGGAAGTATGGTGGAGCAAGTAAGCTCAGGAGATGGAAGAGAACCAGGTTAACCTTGGCAGCCAACATGTCATCACCAACAAATGCGAAGACCGCGTACGTATCGTTCAATGGTTGTAGCTGCCACTGTTTTGTTCGCCTATAATTTGACAGGGTTTGGCATTGGTCGGGTAGCTGTAGCATCGAAGGTGCTCACTGGTTAACTGAACGCAGGGTGAGACAGATCGTGAAAACTAATCTGGGTTCCGTCCTGCTAGAGGATGCGTCGACAGGTTCTCAGACAGACTTTGCAACAAAGACAATGCTTCCAGCGACCACCAATGGTTGTGATCCTTGAATTGAAAGCTGCCTTTGACTCTGTACCGTTTGGAAATTTCTGCGGAGCAAAGGCATCCCCGTAAATTCTTGACCCTCGTGAAGTCGCTGCATGCCAACTCCTGTGGACGTGTGAACGTCTACGGGAAGCTCTCGCATGAGTCACTACATCAAGTGATGTCAGACAAAGCTATCATCTTCACCTTCCCTGTCCAACTTCGTCATTGGTACGATTGTGAAAGACTCCCTACCAGCCTCTGATGCCTGTGTTCGAAGTGCTTCCGAAGCTCACAGATATCGAGTACGTGTTCGACATAGCTCTCCTTGGATTTAACTTCGTGGTAATGCACACAATATTAACTAACCTAAATAATTCTCCCTCAAGGTTTATAATGCACTTCACACTTGCAATGCGTAGTGCTACTGTAAGATTGGGTAGGCTCGAACACCAGCCTCATGTTTGCGGATGAGCCGATTGAGGTAGTAGATAAATTTGTCTAGCCTGGCGGCTTTATCATTCCCGGTGGTCTCGTGACAAATGATATTTTCATCCGGATTGGGAAGGCCAGTGCAGCTTTCGTGAACCTGCGTCACTCGTGGCACATCAGCTTATCCGTCAAGGGTCGAGTTTACGGTACTGCAGTGCGCTCCATATTATTATACCGGTCAGAAACCTGGCCGCTACGTGCCGGGGCATCAAAAGACCTCCAGTGTTTGACCATTGATATCTTTGGAGCATCGCGGGAGTCCGACGGAAAAGCCAGGTCGGTGTGGTGCTGAAGCAGGTCGAATGGTTTTCAGAGAAGATACCTCGCCCACTATGGATGAACTGATCACACGTTGTGCTGGCGTTGTCACTTGCTCCTCATGCCATTTGACCGACGTCCTTGAAGGCTTCTTTTAGCACAACCGCGTGACGGGCGGGAACGAGCCAGGGGAGAAGTATGGAAGCCGTTAGCATCAAACTCAGCTGCTCTGGCCTTTACCTTCTGCTTGGATGGAGACCCCGAGATGGGCCACATGAGTAGTTAGAGACACTGTCAGACATAGCTCAATCACGTAATCAGTGGTGCTCGTCCATCGTAGCGCTCGCCTTCACTGCATAACTCCCCTCCAAAGTTTCCCAAATAACAGTTCGCTGAGAACCCTGTAGATACGCATGAATTATTTTGACTACCGCCTCCAGTGCGCAGCCATCTGCTCCACCTCTCCAGATCATCGGTGACCGAAATTGTACGACAATATGCAGTTCTTACAGCTGGTGGTAATGACAGATGTGACCGTGATCGAACCGCTTGGTTGACATTCGGTTGTGTACGAAGCCTAGCACACCACACTGTCTGACCGCCGAATAATTCCAAACGCTCAGAGGGCTGTCACACGGTCTTGTTTTTTCATCTTCCGATTAGTTCATCCACATTCGATTACATTTCCTCGTTATGAAAGTTTCACGCAGTCACCGACCTACCTGTTAAACTAGGGTGAAACGGCTTGAATTTCGACCTTATTCTTTTATGGCCTAAATTCTTCGAACCTGATTATCTGTTGCTCTCTAGGGAGACACAGGGTACGCTCTTGAAATATGCTCAATATTCCATGGGTATAATTCGATGCTAAAGATGATGATCCCAGTTTCTTCACTGTATTTGTCCACATATTTTCATGCAATCGATCAAGTAGTGTTGGAATCGGCTATGCTCTATACTTGTGTACGTCAGCCTGTTTAACGTTGGATCAACGATGACGTTTGGATATATTCTTTTTCCCTACTACAGTTCTGTGTCCACCGATGTCCCTGCTACACCTGCATTTTGTGAACCCAGTAACCGGACATTTGTTTGAGGCATTCACTCGCTTTTTCCAGTTGAATCCATGTAATCGCCATCAATTTCGATCGATTTATTGTCAGTCAGCTTTAATTTGCACTCTTTTTAACTTCCTTTTGATTCTCTTCCTGGAACTGTCTTGGAATCTGTCACCCGGGGTTTATAGTTATGTACCTACTTTACCCAGTGCCTTCACTTTGATCCGTTCTTAGCTCCAAACTAAGGAATCATTTCTCTGTATTCTATTTTCAGAAGCTATCGGGAATTACTTTTTTCCATTAAGCCAAGGTAACTGTAGCCAATTCCATTTAAGCTTTTGCTACGTGGTTCGGTGCTCGCAAATTTTAATTCGACTTTGGGCTGCTTATTCGCTGAGTTTCCTCATCGAACCAATGTTTGTTGCGGCTAAAATAACTGAAAAATCGAAAGGTGGTGATTAGCTTTCACGTTGAAGGCGCGTATCGGTAGTAGGGTCAGATCTGCTTTATTTCTGAGGACTTTTGCTCGCACAAAACTAATGTTTCACAAGTTGTTGGCTTGAATCTATCCCAGATTATTCCTGTTTGAGGTTGGACATCTTCCCTGCTCCCTTTGGTACGGACTCACGAGAATGTGCGCCAGGACAGGAAGACGCCTGTTGAAACGAGAGTAATGTGACGGGCATCGTAGCTGAGCCTTTTGTTGACTTGGTTTAGACGTTCCGGTGGTGTTAGCGACTGACTCCTTGTGGAGGTTACCTCTGACAGGTGCCAACTGCCGACCCATCAGACAGAAGTTTAGTATATCACCGTAAAATTTAGGAAAACAATTGTGACATGGGACAACGTCCGCGGTAGGTCAGTTTGTGGAGCACTTGTTTGGTAGGCAAGAGGTTGTGTTTGAGTCCCATACAAGCATTCTGTCTTGTCTTTCGCTTGGGTTCATACCCAAAATCTGACTCTAATCTTGATGCCAGTGCATTGTCCACACATATTGAGTACAGCAACTTGCTTTATTTCGAGGGTCACAGCCTGTGTTGACGTATTTCTTGTCCACCTTTTTGAAGCTTTACGGTTTTCACTTACGTCCATGTTCACTGCTGCCACATAGTCGGTCACTTGTTCCTCTGATGAGTGAGGAGTGTTTAGGTAGCTATCCTAATTCTACTCTTAAAGGTCCTTTTTGTGTTGTAGGTGCCTTCGTTTATAGACTCCAATCCGGATGACGCCGCTTCGCTACAGAAAGTCCCTCCATTGCGTATTAAGTTTGCCTCAGGTGCCTCGACAGACTCCGACTCCCTCGGACCTCCAACAAGTACCTCATTTGAGACTGACGCCAAGACGCACGGTTGTTTCTCTTCTGAGCCGAATGTGGACAAACTAGATAGCGGGACCGACGAAACTCCAGGCGAGCAGTCCGATAGCACACTAATTCCACGGTCAATTGATATCACCGGTCATTCCGTAGAACAGCCAAAGGCCGCAGCTCCATCCCTCAGCCAACCTGAGAACGCGTCCAGAGAGCTCAATGAGTCTCAGCAACACATGGATTCTGAATCTAATGTTGATTTTCACGAATCCACACAGCGACTGTCGAATGAGCAGCCCATTGAAGAATCTCTATCAGATACCGCACGGTCTTCAAACGAAGCCTCCAGTGAATTGACTAAGGAATCAACCAAGGTAACTATTTAACATCATTGCTTTTATCTGTTTACTGTGTATCAATAGGTCTCGGATTCTCAGATCTGAAAGTTTGCCAGTTGCAGTGGGTAGTGTATTTGTCTCTTTTTTGTTCCCATGGTGATTGAATAGCTCTTTTTTTGCCATGGATTGAACTTTTGATAGTCTTTTCTGACTGAAAGTGGTACACATAGAAGAAAACTCGGTTCTTTAAGTTCGTATCTAGACAAGCTCTGCTTCTAGAGTAATGCATGCATCACACATTTATTCTCGGTCGATACACCACGAAATGTGCTCAATGAAAGGCCTCCGTAACCTTCTGACTAATTCGTGCGCTGAGTAAGCCCGTATACGATGCAGGCGCAAAAACACCCGATAACCTTTGTGCAACCGCAGTTCGTTTACTTCATTTTCACATGTTTTGTCCAAATGGCACTAAGTCCTTGTGATACCAACTGTTACGCCACTTGACGACGCCTGAAATCTTATTGGCTTATGCTCCAGACGGCTTCACGCTTCATGTTTATTGCTCACTCCCATTGTCTCACATCACTGTGATCGTGTTTTAGGTAGACTCGTTATTGTCACTACGATGCCACTTGTCATTAGTCTGCCTCTGCTGTGCCTCCAAACGCAGGAATGGATTGCATTGTTCATTTGTTCGGTATACCTTACTGTACAATTATCAAGGACTGGATGCAGAGTTTGATACTGAGTCATCGAAAAGGTAGATATTCGTTGTCCGGCACTAACTTCTTCCAAACTCTGAATAAGTTACATATGTTGTTTAGCCTGAATAACGGAGGTTCGTCACGGAAATAAATGCGGTCGTATTCTCTGGAATCTGACTTCTCATGGTACGGAAAATCGCATGCATCGCTCCATTTTCAAATTTCATGGTCACTTCTGTATTATGTCTACCCTAATTGTGTTCGCCCAAAAAATATCATATGACTGACGGATGCTCGATCACCTACAAATTTGTTGTTCGTGTGTGGATCATTCAATCGAAAAACTAGCTTATGTCCGGCACTCACTGTGGCAACAATCTAACCGCTTGACGTCGCTATCGGTCAGTTATGCCATCTTGATAATTAGGCCCCTGTTGGGCAGTTCAGTCTCGCATGACACCATGTGTTAGTAACAATTTGACATATTGTCTGCAGTTACTTCAAAACCCTGTTTACGACTCAGAGTCTGAATTGACTCACTGACATTCTTAAGGACTTGGCAGCCAGTCAGCATACGCCTAAGTGTCTGCTGCTGGAGGAATGCATGAGGTTTTTGTAGGACTGTTTAAAAATCGGAAGATTTATTCATTCTTGGGGATTGTCAACTTTTAACGGGCAACATCTCCAGACGGAGTTCAGTGTTCCATGTGCTTGATGTAACTTGGGCTTTTAGAAAGCTTGTATGCTATCTAAGTTTGCATCTCCGTGTACAATTCCTGCCCATATATGAGTTGCTCAGATCACGTCATTCTTGCCATCCCTGAAGATGAAAGTGAATCACGTACGACACTCATCAACCTGTGTACAGCACTTTCATATTTCTTCATCCCTTTTTGGATTCTCTCCCTGACTTCACAGCGCGACACTACTTTGTTGTTCCCAATCGACAACGGTACACTTTTCCCCATAAACCGCAGGTATCAGACAACTACTTGAAGTCTACAGCATTAGTTGACTCGTGTGCTTTCTCAGCCGACTGTCAGTTTCGTACCCATCAACTAATCGCTTTTGATCCTTGATGCCAGTTCATTAAAAAACCCTAAGCGTGAAATGGGTCTATTTCGTCTTAGTCGCACATGTGGTGCTTTGGACCAGTAGCGTGCCCCGTGAAATTCACCTCGTTAGGATTAAAAGTCAGAAAACTGCAAACACTTGCAATTGGTTTTTCTCTTATATCATCAGAGGGGCCACCTGGTGTGTTGATTTTCTAAGTAGTTTGCGTGTTCTTACCTGGTATTAAGTACTCTCAAGGGCCTCCCGCATCGGATGATACGTTGATGCTCTTCAGGGGAATATGTGGATCTTGCCTAGGCTTGGACAGCCTGACAATATCTCAACCCTTCGTGCTTTCTTCTTTCCTTACTCGGTCTTTTTATTTGGTGAAAATTCGCCCTTATTCAGAATCAGCCTTCATAACCAATGTTGCTCTGTGGTAGCAGCATTTTATAGACACCACGCGGGAAATATTCTTATTGCAGAGTCGACATCTGAGAGTAGCTTTTTCATTGTACGAGACACAAGTAAAGTCGAGTTCTTCTGGCAATTTGATGTGCATCTTTGGAAAAAAAAACTCGAACGGAGTTGACTGGGTGTTCCATTCGTTTTTCTCATCAGGTCAGACTTACTCCTACTCAGTAGATCAACTTACACCTGTCGTCTTCCGAAATTGCTCTAAACCGACGCAATCGATCATCGGAATGCACTGAATTTTACCTTGCTTGTGACCTTAGTGTCTATCTAAGTTGGACGTTTAAACGCTTCCAATCGAAGCAAAGGATTAGTTTATCAAGATCACTTTGTCTTAGTGTGAATTTCACACATCTGGCTCACGATACCGGTTCCATTAAACATTTTTGTCGCTTAACATTACGCAAGGGCCTACTGCTCGCATAGCAATTCTAGCCGTTTGAAAATCTTTTTTTTCTTGATACAATTTATCCCGTTGTTACCGTTCCATCCCATCATCTAATGTTCTTGTGAGAACGCCTAATGTCTGTGTCCTTAGATATAAGATGGTAGTTTGGAGTCATAGGTGGAGGTAGACCATTGTAGTCGCCTTCGCTAATAGTCCAGTTTACTCTGGTCACGAGCCGGAACTATACAAGGTCGATGAATCAAGTCTCGTCCCTCATGTTTATTTTCCGATTTCGTAGCTGTAACACTCCTTTGGTGCCTGTCTGCCCTACAGCCCAAGGGAACCTTGACGGCAAAGATACTACCAAGTTGCCTCAAGCCAGAAGCAGGGGACGTTGATGTGCCGAGGTTAGGCTCGAACAAAGGGCCTTCTGATCAGCAGATTCGTACCTTAGCCACTGATGTATCTCCAGCTGCTTAGCCGGTGTTAGGTCGTACTTCTTTTGCCAGTTTTAACACATTTAGCACTGTTATGGATGTTGACTGCCGCGGAAGTCAGCACACGACTAATATTGGGGCTAACTTTCCTGTCAACTCTATTGGAAGCCTGTCCTTTGCTTCACACCTCTGATTTATGTTGTGTCGGCTCATTCATTTCTTCAACTCCGGGTGGACCTAAACATGCATGTCTGGATCATTAGATGGCTTTGAATCGCGCTCTTTGTTGGCTGACCAGCCTAACGATAGGTTCGCCACTCGTTGCTAGAATGGTGTTAGGGAATTCCAATGGAGTTTCCGTTCGGATTGTTGATTCGTCTCTTCTTCTGAGTGGAACGGAGTGTGAGATAGAACTCCCTGTAAAACAACCCCAAAATGCTGATTGCACCGTGTTTACCACAGGTCGGCGATGTGTGCTAACGGATCGAGTTTTGCGCTAACAGACATATCAAAAGTCCTTGAGTAGATCACACCAATTCCCCTGGTTTATTTTCCCGCCTGTTGTCGCCAACCCAAGCAAATCGAGAAGCCCTCGATTTTCACAGTTTTCAAAGAAGATACGAAAAGCCACTCGATCGCAACAGTCGGACAGAAAGCAACTACTCTTTATTTTAATGGACGCTCGTCAAAAGAGAGTTTTCGAGTGTCGGAATTAAGCTCAGACCATCTTATCCAATTTCTGGATTATGATAAACGTTGGGTTTATTCTGGAGTGATAGACGGATGAGGGAATTATTCCAAGATTTTCACAACGTAAATGTAATATATAAGTTAGTATGGCAATACCTTGTTTTGTTTTTCAGTTACTTTTTACATCTTTTTTTGGTAGGAGTCACACAGACATCGCAGTGGTCGCACACTACGTTCGCACACGGCAGCCCAACGCGAACGTGAGGAACGAGAACGCCACAGTACGCCCTTCCGTAAACTACTGCTCGTCTGTCACTTTCCCCTTTTTCAGCCTTCTGTTATTAAGTCAATGTTTTGTTCTTGTTCATACATGTCACCCCTTTTTCTAGGCAACCATAGTGGTTTGTTTTTTTTTTTGGTGCACAGTTTTCGGTCTGTAAGTTGCACTGAGATTATATGATTATTATGGAAGGTTCAGTATTTCCAGGTGTCAAGCATATCGATGTCACAAGTGTTCCGCGACATATAAATTCTGACGCGCCTATAAAGTTGACTACTCGCGATAAAGCGGTAACCCTCTACGTACAACTAGGTTACATCGATATTGCAATGGTACGTGATGTGTTAATTTTGGTGGTGTTTCGTATAGATTTTCCGCTACTCGAAAACGTGAGTCAGTGACGATGTAATCCGGATGCTGAGAGTATGTAATTCACTGAAGTCAGAGCACCGATGTTCGGACAAGGTGCTTCATCACCATCATCATTGACAGCAACACCAGATGAGAACGCTGGTGCTCCACCGCCGTAAAGCACTAGTACAAGAATATTTGGATAGGAAGGATTCGGAACCACGGTTCTTTTCAGTTAAAAGCTCAAGAATCGTGCTTAATGTTGTCAGTTTCGCCCGCGAAACAATCCTGCATGTTGATGACATGTATCACTGCCTCTGTAATCTCCCGTAAACGAATTCCTACCATTTTGCACCCAACGTCAAATACGCATTACCAGTCTTAGGGTTTAGAGTTAATATACCATTCATAAGGTTACTGAAAATTTCGGCAGACCATGACCAGTTTCGCTCTTCTTAGGCCTCAGGTAGGCGCAGTCCCGCGGTTTCCGTCAACGTTATGTTCTTAGGGTTTTCATGTACACTTTTCCTGTAGTTTAGCAGTTTTTTCACCAAATGAACGAAACCGTAGGAAATTGGTTGCTGGTTACAATACAATAAGAAAATCAATACAAATTGAGAAGTACTAAACCAGCTAAAGGTATTTACAGACAGCTTAAGAATGTAGCAATTACTAAAATACGCTTGTTCATTACTATACTCATTGATCGATAATCTCGCTAATGATGCGAAAACCGACTGAAGAGTTTCCGTCAGAGAAAAGTAATCGGAACCAATCCGGATGTTGGCTTTTGCTCGTTCGTGCTGGTACCGCCGAGGTGCTCTAATTAAAATTACATGGCCCGTAATTTTGAACCCCGTATCGACCACTGAATCAGACCAGTCCTAATTTGCTCTTCTGTATGACATTGGCATCCTCATACATACACATATCAAACTGTCTGACCTGAAGTGTACCCATTGCCCCTGGACTCCTATTGTTTGTTGGTTTTCGCACCTCGCTTCTTATGATCAACTCCGTAATTAGAGCCTAGTCATCGGGTAACATGGGGATTTGTGTGCAAACATTGTCTGGTTTGAGGATACCTCCGCCAAGCACTGGCACGTAAAATTCGGAACAGTCTTTTTACTTGGTTTCCATCAAACGTGGGTATCCCTCGTTTACACTTGATTCACTCGGGTTGGACTTGCACTTTGTTTACACGCTCACTTCAGCAATCTTCGTCTAAAAATTTTCAATGTGAACTAAGTGTTCTGCCCCATCATCGCTTTTTTGTTGTTTTGACTGGTTTAGTAACTACAATCTGTCGATTACAACAGACATTTGGAACAAAAATGCACCGCATCTTTGATCCGTTTTTCACTTTACTGCAATCGCGGATGCTCTCCAGAAACTACCTAACAATTAAACAGTGAATGGTCTAAATGGCCAATTGTAAGGTGGATAAAGTTCACTTTTCCGTAAGAAGTAGGTTTCATATACTTGTCCTCCAAATGAAGATACATTTATTTGAGAATTTCATAGGCAAAATATGACCTTCGTCCTGTGCTTTTACAACCCAACACTGGGGCGAAAATAAAATTCACTCTCACGATGCAACAAACTGTGATCCACTCTAACAACGACGTATTTCAGCAGCAAACTGATGGCGTCACTGAAGAAGTTCCCAGTGTTGTGCATCATTCGGTAGATCAGTTTAAGCCCTTTGACGCGTCATACTACGGTATTTAGCTATTTCTGGCACTCTTGGCCAGAAGTAGTCTAATCCGGAGTTCTACGAGTTTGTTCTATTTTCAAAGAGTCATCTGAAGATAGTTTTAGTAACAGAAAGTTACTACAAAGAAAGTGCAGAGCGCCTAGCAGCACCTGTTTCTTCGGCATCACAAATCTCTGGATGTAAGCTGATCCGTGCCCTTGATGATACAGTCCACGAACTGTGTATTGTTGGTCTCCGTTCTTGTATGAGTCTGTCACGGCCACGTTAATATTTCTGGATTGCACGCAACCGCTAAGTCACTGCTCCCCATGTTAGGAGTAAAAGTGCTGTAGCTGTCGAAAACGGCCACGTGCAACTGAGTGCTGAACACATGAGCGTTGAAAATGAGTATTTATTGACTAAGTAAATATTTGTAGGTGCGCAAACTAGGGTATCGGAACTTCGTCCTTTCCCTTTCTGTCATTCTGTTCGTACCTTTGTGGTAGTCAGACACGGTTTACTTCATATATGTCATGGACCCTTTCGAAGCGAATTTTCACCACAATAATCACAAAACCAATAGTCGTTTCAAATCACTGATTATGATACCTAGCTTTGCCGTTGTTCATTTTGGGTGTTCAACATCCTCTCTGAGGTTAGACTCACCTGCTATTAAACAGGCCGCACGCTGCGCAACCCATTCAGTCGAACTTTGGCGATCGCAATCGCTATGCCCGCTCTGAGATTTGTGAAAGTCGTTTCATCAAGGCCGCCATCCGAGCGTTCGTTGTACGGCTTTTAATTCTAAAATAGAGTATAGCTGGGCCTGGCTATGCCGCAGTTGGCGCTTTAAATCCTTGCTACCTGGTCGGAGGAAGAAGAATGCAGCCGGTCAATAGCAGTTTTACTTACCAGTTTTTGGCCCATGCTCTGATTCTGATGGTGCCACAAAAACCCAACTCTGGACTGCGTGTTGATATTCCGAAAACCTGGGTATCGTTTTATCCTTGTGTCCAGCAGCTGTGATTACAGTGGCAATCAAATCATCCTTTCACTCAGCTGAGCAGTATGGTTGTAAACGTTTCGGTAGTGGTCAGGGTGACGTCTTCACTGCGTCGTTTAGCCAGGCGACACGGCGATGTGGTAATATCCATGTGTCTATCTACCTGGAATTGACTTACATCAACCACTCGTAATTTGATTGGGTTAATCATTACTCGTCGATTTACGTACGGTCTTTGAGGCTCGCATCTTTATTCTTCATCTGTTCGTGAAAACCGTGCGGACTGTCACTTTTACATTGTGACGTGTGCTGACGTGATTCCACCGACAACACAGGGCTTCGCTACACAACGACGCAGACAGTGAGATACTCTTAATGAACTCGCCCAACTTAGTTTGGCCATCTATTTGACATGATCTACGGACATTCTCCCTTCTGGTCAGATTTTGGTCGAGCAGTTCGGACTTTGATCATTTCCATTCAGGATTATTGGCAATAAATCTTGATGAGACAGGGACGGTTTCTAGAGGTAGGCAATATTACGGGAGTCCGGGAAATGCCAGCTGTGGAGAGTGCTATGACGGCACCCGATGAATGGATGCTTGTGTTTCCATGACCATCCTCCGGGTGACATCGATATATCTGATTGTTCTATCCCAGGTATTAAGGATACAGTGTCTAGAGGACCCTTGGTTGCCAAACACAGTGAGTAAACCGACAGAGTTAGAATTTTCATCAAAACCTGGGAGTTCGCTATTCCGATGTGACGGTGCTTTAGTTCACATTCCTTGTAGAACATTGCTCGTCTCCCTTAATCAAATCAACTGCCACCCTGTCGGAGCAACGCTTAGACACGTCCGCTGCTTCTCGCCAACCATGAATGAACAATAGGTTGTGAACGCCAAAGAGTGATGAGTGGTAATGACTGATACCTGCTTGGATAATTAATCCAAATGTAAGTACCATATGATGGAAATATCTTACCCTCGGATGCTAGATCTGACTCCAGTCCTCGCACACCAATATCGGCGCTGTTTTATGAGTGGATACGTATGCCATATCCTCAGGTCACATTACTTTGGGTTGTTAACGTTCCTAACAATATAAGTCCACACTAATGCTCTTACCGTCGCTTTCAGCGGACACCACTCCCATCAAGAAACGAAAGTTACGACAACGCAACGAAAATAATGGTGAGAATGGAACACAACCGCAGGTAGCGGGTCGAATTTTTTCTGTATGCACGTCCAGCCAACCAGGTTCCTTACCATCCGCTCCTATTATCAGTAGTTGCGTCACTGGTCATCCGTCTACAGACTGCCCAAACGAACCAATGGGTGGTGGGCCTGTTGATTCTGACTCTTCGGTTGGCGTGGTTTGTAAGCTACAATCATCCAATGAAGGCGGTGAAGCAGTACAGAAGGTTGAGAAACGATCACCGAAACCTGAAAATTTCTCAAACTCGGATCCATCAAACATGGACACAGATATTCGGGAACGTAGGCCATCTGAGGGTGATTATAAAGCTAAACCGACTGATTCACCTCCTCAATCCTTACCCGGCTGTTCAACCTCTCAGCCACCAAAAACCGAATCGCCGACAGCGACCACTTCGATGGAACTTGATGGTGATATTAGCTATCTGACTTGTCCTCTGGGACCTGACGACGACAAACGGGACATGTCTTTGCACTATCCCAGGTATTAAGGATACAGTGTCTAGAGGACCCTTGGTTGCCAAACACAGTGAGTAAACCGACAGAGTTAGAATTTTCATCAAAACCTGGGAGTTCGCTATTCCGATGTGACGGTGCTTTAGTTCACATTCCTTGTAGAACATTGCTCGTCTCCCTTAATCAAATCAACTGCCACCCTGTCGGAGCAACGCTTAGACACGTCCGCTGCTTCTCGCCAACCATGAATGAACAATAGGTTGTGAACGCCAAAGAGTGATGAGTGGTAATGACTGATACCTGCTTGGATAATTAATCCAAATGTAAGTACCATATGATGGAAATATCTTACCCTCGGATGCTAGATCTGACTCCAGTCCTCGCACACCAATATCGGCGCTGTTTTATGAGTGGATACGTATGCCATATCCTCAGGTCACATTACTTTGGGTTGTTAACGTTCCTAACAATATAAGTCCACACTAATGCTCTTACCGTCGCTTTCAGCGGACACCACTCCCATCAAGAAACGAAAGTTACGACAACGCAACGAAAATAATGGTGAGAATGGAACACAACCGCAGGTAGCGGGTCGAATTTTTTCTGTATGCACGTCCAGCCAACCAGGTTCCTTACCATCCGCTCCTATTATCAGTAGTTGCGTCACTGGTCATCCGTCTACAGACTGCCCAAACGAACCAATGGGTGGTGGGCCTGTTGATTCTGACTCTTCGGTTGGCGTGGTTTGTAAGCTACAATCATCCAATGAAGGCGGTGAAGCAGTACAGAAGGTTGAGAAACGATCACCGAAACCTGAAAATTTCTCAAACTCGGATCCATCAAACATGGACACAGATATTCGGGAACGTAGGCCATCTGAGGGTGATTATAAAGCTAAACCGACTGATTCACCTCCTCAATCCTTACCCGGCTGTTCAACCTCTCAGCCACCAAAAACCGAATCGCCGACAGCGACCACTTCGATGGAACTTGATGGTGATATTAGCTATCTGACTTGTCCTCTGGGACCTGACGACGACAAACGGGACATGTCTTTGCACAACTTCGAGAATCCATTTGAGAAAGCTGCTGCAGTGCAGAAGAAGGTGAGTTATCATTCACGTTTACTCCTTGTTTTTTGTCAATTTTGTTCCCTCTTGACCAGCACGTGGCAGTGCAGCTTGATTTCATTTGTTCTTCTACCTCCTATCCGAACTATTGTTGAGTTCCATAGAAAACATTGAGCTTTTTGTGTTTAATTTACTCATCGGCTCAACGTAATCGTACGTTAAGCTGAAGTCGTTAACGTAGGATTATTTTGTGGTTCATTTTTGATGCACTTTTCAAAGGCTTGTCCTATTCTTCGTGGCATCTGCTGCTGCAAGCTCGGGGTAGCTTCGCTGCGGACTCGTGACCCCTTCTAGCTGTTTCCGCGCGAGTTAGCACATCCCGAGACTATTTCGACATATAAGCTGATTCAGGTTAAGGGAACTCAAATAAAATCACTTTCTGGCGCACCAGCATGTACATCAGCTCCCAAATTCCGTATTTTTTCAGATAAACTAGTGGCAATGTTTGTAGGGATGTAGAATAGTTATTCCGTTCAGTGTTGTCGTCTGTGGTGGAATGCGATGTGGCTTAGTGACATTTGGCGGCTTTAACTGAACATACTATTTAGCCCAGCTAGGTGCACGGCCAGAACGAACGTCAAGTAGAAAATGAAAAAGCAACTTAATAATTAACTTTGCGATCTAACTGTAACTTCAAGTGTATCTTGTACGAGATTCTTCATCGAAGCGGCCTCAGTAAATGATACCGAGCCCAATAAAAAGTGTTTTCACGTCAGTACACCATCGATAAGGTTGCTCGAAAGTCTTCGACGGATGGGTGTATATCATAAGTATGTTTTCACGTCTTCATTTCAAAATAAAATATAGAGATTATTAGGCTTGGCCCGGTTTTTTTCAGCAGCGTTCCACATTACTCTTGCCTTTTGAGTGTCCATGAAATGGTCCGGGGTCTTGCTTGAAGAGATGCCAGGTGTCTCCAGAGATACAGCTGGTGACCAAGTTGTAAAATTCCGGATACCACAGTATAATAGTGATAAATTTACCCTTCGTAAGACAAAATTCTTCATATATGGCATGCGCTAAAACTATTTTCGGGCATCTAGTCTTAAAGTGAAATTCCTGTTGATCAGAGACTTGGCTTTTTGCTGTTTCTTCAGTGCTTTTTGACAGGTACGGGAGTATAACCACTTAAACACACGTGCATAGTTCATGCACACTTCGTATCTAATCAGAACACTTCTGGTTATCTCCCTCGACACATCAGATAAAATCTTCCCCAGGGTTTCGGTCTTCAAGGGGTGAAAGTGTGGTTTTCCCCATAATGCAACACAATTTCTCCAAGGCATCCTCTTTCCTTTTTAGAGTGCTTCACTATTCTGAATGTTATCCACGGACATGTTCACTGTATGGTTAAGGTGTTTTCACTCCGTCTACTGCTGACCGAAATTCCCATATACTTGATCAAGGTGGTAGTTGATACTGTCTGGCACTTAATTTGATTGATCCTTTCGAGTTTCATTCCGCCCGATTTCCTCGCATCTGTTTGGTTCATTTAGTAACTCCAGTTCAATTGTTCTTCCCTCTTATTTCGAGTGGTGATTTGGTTTTCCTGTCCGTTGCGTTACTGCCAGCAGTTCTGCCTTCTGATTACTCGATCGAACACCTAGTTCAATAGTTTTCCTTCTATTCGGCTTGTCCGTTTGCCATTTCCCTCTCGTTGAAACTCATGACCAGTTCAGAAGGTACCTTTTTAATTGACCCAATCTCCATTTTATATTTTGTTAAAGCTTCTGGCTTACCAATTCAGTATGATTCACTTAATGGGAAGACCTGACAAAGAACACAAATCCTGATGGAACCAATGAGATTAATGGCCACACTACTGCCTAGATAGCAACTTTCAGTCAAGGATGTACTAAATTCGCGTGTGATTCGAAACAACAACCGAGTTGAAGTGGTGAACCATGGCATCAATCGAGCGACAAACTGAATCATACATATATAGACATAACCCACTACTCATAAGTTTGCTGAAAAATTCCTCGACATCCCACGACCGGTTTCGCCTTTGTTGGGGCTCATCAGGTAGGCGCAGTGCCCGAGTTTCCACCAATCTCATGATCTACTTGAACCCGGATTGCACGAAATTAGCGAAATACACTCGTTTGTAAACAGATTTGGTTTTTGCGGAAGACTCACCTAGAACCCAGCTGAATCTGTCGTTTTTAATGTTTTCAAGTAACTGAATGTGCTGTTTGAGAACATCATAAACGAGAGATTCAGCTGGATTCCAGATGAGTCTCCCACAATAAACAAATTTATTTGCAAATGATTGTATTTCACTGAATCATACACAATTTCTTCTTCATCTACAATAAGCTGGAAATAATTTTTATTGATTTTGTCACGGAACTGTTTATAGACAATGTAACCTCGTGAATTTCATTTATGTGCACAACTGTTCCCGCTGGATTCACTGGAATTGATTATGATGTTAGGCAATGTTCGCACAAGCGAAAGTGGTCACATTCACAAACCGATGACCGTATCTGAGATACGGTCCCAGAATTCTGGCCTAGTTCATTGACTCTTATGGCTCCGTGACCTGTCATCCGTCCTGTAAGTCGGAGTCGTTTGTACTTCATCCACCGCAGGTATCATCATATCCGTGAAGCCCTTTCGGCAGTCCATGTTTCTGCTGCCATAGAGATGGCGCGGCGCAGTCCACCAACTCCCCATCCATGCGAATCATTCAGACAATAACGGAAAAGACTGTAATTCTGTATGAACTTTTCCACGCGATCGTGCGAAAAGATAATGGTTTGGCGTAACAATCAATGCCCGGTTAGCATTACGTTTTTAGACCGTCAGATGTGGGAGTTTTTATGGTTGCGTCGCATGTAAGGAGTAAGTCTGCCTTGGCCAGGCCCACCGAGACGGTGCCGACAAAAATTCTGCGTGTGAGGTTTAAGTGCGACAGCAACGTACATTTGCACACTGGCGCTCGACAAAACTGCAGCCAAATTTGACCGCATCTAGTGCATTTCTCGTGTCATTTTTCGGTCCATAACCAAGGTCTGATGATGGGCAGACAAAATGTTGTCGGTTACATGATAACAAACAACGCAGACAAACCACTACGTTTCCTGTCAGTGCGTGCAGCGGAATCGGACATGCTTGAATTCAGTGCGAATTTCGTAAGAAGTGACTATGTGGTTACCGTAGTCTGAGGTGACCGTATACGCATCATAGGGCATTCCCCAAACACACTGTACCTTCAGAAGCTACCGTTTGAGTCCATTGCCACCAAGCAGAACAGAACTATGATAATTTGGACTAGTTTGTTAAAAACCCTACTGCTGAAGTGGTTTCCATCTGATATTATGGCGGCTCGCTATTTGTTGGAGTGGAGTTTGTGGTAGGTCAGCTCGAGGGCTGACAACGCCTATAATTGTTCCTAACGATTGGTGCGTTGCTAACTCATTATTTCAATAACTAGTCTGCGTAACCAGTTGTATTCATTTTTTATAGCTGCTGCATCCCATTTAGGGACACCTGGGCGTTCTTCGTGAGCCTATAGGAAATCTTGCTGGCTAATCTTGTCTCCAAAAACTCGGACAATGGAGGCAATACACGTGTTCTAGTTGGTTGCTTAAGTCAAACGTGCGCAAACGTCATCCAGACAGATTATTCGGTCTGTCCATTTCTGTCTCTAAGGGCGCGTTTGGGATGAATGATTTATCTTCCTTGTTCGCTTTGCGTCATTCTGTACCCCACGACTTGACACTAGAAAAACGGCAAATTTATTCATGTAGAGTAGTTTTGTTGGTCGGATTTACAATGATTACCGTTTTATTGGATTTTCAAGTTTCGTCAGACCCCTAGTTTTTTTGTGAATCACGTGTCTGGGTGAACTGGCATCCCAATCTGGTTGCAGACGGCTAGACAAACTCCCTATTTCTTGTCTTCAAATTTGTTACCCATGTGTGGAATAAGCCTAATCTCGTGCGTAAATGGGGCTAAAAGAATTGGCCAGCACCATCACGAGTTATAAATAACAATTTCGAATTATTAAGGATGAATTCCATCAGTACTGACATACATGACAACGACCGGTTTGTTAATGGTCTGATCTGCGTAACTTAACTTAAGCTAAAATGGAGACATTACAAGCTCAAGTAAAACCAACGAATCTATACAGTACATTTTTAACGACAGCCAGCCTGATGTAATACCAACCCATCCTTTGTTCTCTTGTAACTACAGGTCCCAGCTATGGATCACACTTGTTTTGCAGGCATACTTGAAACGGGATGAATTGCGTTTTTTTTTTTGACGATTTATGGATGCCCAATAAGTGGGCTACTGTGAATACCTAGGTCAACAGCAGTTGCAATCGTCAGCATCTCATGAGGCTAGGTTACCCATGGTTTTTGGGTAGTCAGTCGTGTAGCTGTGCAGAGTAATCGCAAGTGAAACTGTTCATCCTTCCATATTCTGACCACCTTTCTAATACGACTGTAGTAGAAAGGAAACACTAACTCAGTATTTCATGAATAGTCAATGTTGTAACGGAACCGGGTGAATTAAGGTACTGTGATTGGTTAGTGTAAAAGTTCAAAACCACCATTATCGTCTTCTATAGGTTTGAGATCCAGTATGTCATAAAGATGAACATACCTGCATTCGCAAGTTACCTATGGGGCGAATTCCAATGTCATAACACGACGGCTCGACTTTCATGCATACAACAGACTAACATTCTCACGTTTACTGGTAATGATACGTGTGTACTCCAAGTGCTCATGGAATAAACTAACGAACAGAGCTTATGCTCATACCTCATCAACCGGTGTGTCGTCAGGAGTCTATCCAATATCGCCGAACCTTTCTCGCTAATCGTTCTTATTTCATTGCTCGAGAGCGTTAAACTCAGAGACCGTTAGTATGTTTAAAACTTGACGACCAGCTTGCTGATTTTGTAATATTTTCCTGCAAATGGCTTTCAGTTAAGTGGAAATCTTTATATCTATATCAGTCCTCACTGGTTATGATGTCCTACGGTATTCCCAGCATGACTTGCTCCATTTGTACAGATTACCCTATTTCTTAGCTATGAGTTACTTCCTAGAATGCATTATCCGATACACCCTCGATTACTTCAAGCAACCATTTACCGAGACTCTTGTTAGTCAGTGACACCAAACAAATGACCCGCTTTGCACTTCTGCCCGACCCCAGAAACAGATGCCGTGTTTGAGCTTATTGTTGTTACAGTCACCATAACCTTCGCCTGATCCTTCAGAGGAAGAGAAGAAATCATTCTGAGTCAAACAAGAGAAGTTTCTGTGGAATAATAGACGGAGGAGTGAAGATGGTTTGCCGACCTCCATCAGCAGCCAAGCCAGTTCGACGGTTTTTCATGATCTCAGTCACCCTACCATTAGCAGGTTGAGTTCGGAAGACCTGCTATCATGATGCTCCAGTTATTGGACGATTGTCTAATCTCTCTAGGATAACTAATCCTCAAAAGCAATCACACATTTGTAGACGGAATGCACCACTCATAAAGTTGCTAAAGACTCTTCGAAGGTACACGACCTATTTCGCTTTTCTTGGGGTTCATCAGGTAGGCGTAATCCCTGGGTTTCCGGCAGCCTCATTTTCTGTTTGAATCCAAATTGGGCACAGTTTGTGAAGTACACTCCTTTGCACATAGTTTCCGTTTTACCGAGAGAATCAACTGAGCCCCAGCCGATTCTCTCGTTTATGATCTTCACCGGAACGTGCTGCACAAAAGCCGCTCCATGATTCAGTTGGCATGATATTCTAGATATCACAGTGCAATGTCTAGACGGTACACACTACCAATAACGTTGCTGAAAACTCTGACAGAGTACCCTAAACGAGAGATTCAGTTAGATCTTTAAAAACAGCTACATGTCCTGTAAACACCCATAACAAACCCAAAAATTGTCCAGCGGGTTTCAAGTGCTCATGGCACTACCTGACTGGTAAGTCCTGGCAGGCAGGGCAATCGATCATCAACTCCAGGCAGTTACTGGGTCGTTCTTCGAGTAGACGGACATACCAATAACAATGCTCAAGCGTGAACACATTCGCCTGTTCATATGTGAAAATTCAGATGCGTCTAACGTGCGTTGGTTGATTAGTGGAAACATGCTCGTTACACATGTTTGAGGTCCGGAGTTCAAACCCTGACACATCCATAGGATATGCACTCCTGATGAGCTGTAGTGAGGGCGAAGCTGTCTAGTCCAAACTCACCAGAATAATTACGCCAACATATGAGTGTGCAACTGTTCAAACGAGATTGAGGTGGATGTGACCACCAGTTATGCCGCAATCACCCACAGCAAAACCAAATCCCTTTTCAAATGAGTGCATTTTGTATTCAGATTTTGATTAAAAAAAAGATAATTTTGCCATTCTTACCAGGCATCTGGGCACATCATGTCACTTTTCCAAGATAAATCTTTCATATTACATACTACTACCCCACCGTATGTTCATCCCACATACTAAAACCGTTTGCTTCACTCCCTCTATCCACTTACCTCACAGCTTCGCGAACTCATAAACAATTTGGTGGAGGTGCATCCCAAAGCCCCTTGTGCTTATCAACAATACTTACTGGTTTCCAGGAACTATCTACTGGCTTATGAACCTCCTTCATTGGTGAAAAAGGTGAGACTTTGCCAGTATTTTTCCAATTTGTTGGTAGCTGGTTTCGTGCACTATTAGACGTGCCGTTGAAATGGATTACGTCCTCAAATTTATGAATTCAGATTCATGTCGATGTTACCAACGGCACATCGATCTTCCTCCCTTGGATCACTGACAATCCTGTTTGGGCTTACAGATTTGTTCTTGAGTGGATGTTGCCCTCTTGTGAGTTGACTCAGTAGTTAGTGCACGATCGTAGGCTTTTGAAATGGACACTCTCTGCTTCGAACACACATTAAACTCGTATACACTGAAAGGCCTAAACTTTGAAGCCTCCAAATTCAACTTCTTCCTGATCGTGTCTCAGTCACTTACTTTTAAGGATTGCTAGTCACCAGGCGTTACAGTGTTTTCTTTACAGTGGTCTATCCAGCACCTACGCGGTCGCAAACAACATTTTTGGTTCTAAGGAACAGTATCGACAAGAACTTATCTGTGGCACCTTATGACACGGAAGTTTATTTTTGCAAAAATTGTGACCTTGAACTTCTCGGATGCATTGGCTAAGGGTTGTATGGAAAGCAAGCTTATGTGTCATTTCTTATCGTCTTGTTTCCTCCATCCTCACTAAAGTCGCATTCACTCTTATGCTTTCCTTTTAGACGCCTCCGTCAAATTTGCCTCAAGTGTTTGTAGAGCTCTTCAATCAGCAGGAGGAAGAACGCTATGCACAAGCACTGAAGCATCAATCAGAACGGGTATGGTTCCCGGTTTTTGCATTGTCTATTTCACTTTAATTCCTGGTAGTGTGATGGAATATTGGTAACTCAAGTGCATTCATTGGTAATTCATCAGGCTGTTATTGCTCAGTTCGCCAAGCTTGGCAGTTGACTTTCAAATGTTTCGTCACCATTCGACGAGACATCTTCAGTACGTTGCATTAGGAGTTAGTGTCGTGCATTACCGGTAGGTGTGAGAGGCTTTACGATACATTGCGTTGCCGCCCAAATATCATTAATGGACAATAACTTTAAGACTAGGGTGTCTCTCAAGCGTTGTCTACTCATAGATGCTCGTAAAAATAAACCATGGATTTGGAGTTCCAAGGTTTCACCTAAGAGTGTGGAAAAGGGATTACGCTCACATTAGCCTGGGAAAGCTAACTCAACTGACGAACAAAGGTATGGTCGTTCAACTGTACTACCCCACTGGGGATGAATGTTAATCTAGCGTCGTCTTCAAAGTAGAGACGCTTACTAGATGGGTAGTCAACTCTGACAAGTACAGCGTCAACCTAGGAAACTAATCAACCGAACGACGGATAGACATCTCGTTAAACTGTATTCACAACAATTTGGTTAGATGGACACCGTGTACCCACTCTGACCAAAACACAAGTGGTGGAGCATGATCTGGAGTGTGAGGGACGGGTCCTCAGAACTAATACCACTATGGGTGTGCGACATAGCACCGGGTGGATACACTGATTCGCGTGTCAACATTGACCGAAAATTTCAACGCCGCTGATCAGAATTCGATCGGGTAGACAAAACAACTCAACTATTCATTCGATAGTCTGAATCGCATGCTAACAGTCGGTGGAATTATCTTGCCCACTTGAATGTCTTCACGTGTTATTCTTTGGTGGGCTGGCAGTTCCACATACCCTCAGTCGAACGACAGCCGAGAATTGCCGATCAAATATTTCCTCTTTTGAAACGATGCATCACATAAATCACTGTAAATTGCATCACCTGACCATTGACGACATCAGGCCGTAATGATGCCTATCAAGGCAACTTCGGGAACCCGAATAGATCAAAAAGCACATCCAGTCTCTTGTGGTCGATGATTTGACGACTTTAAGAAACAGTAGCAATTAATATACGTGTATTCATACGTCATCCGGAGTTAGTGCGGTTACACGTGACTTACTGAAGCACTTAATTGGTTACTTGCTACCAGGGTCCACACCGAACGGGTAAACTAGTGTCAATAGCTAAATGTACTTGCAGAAAACCAGCCCACGTTTTCGACAAATAAACTCATTTGCATATCAACTCCGTTTTCACGAGAGACCTAACTGAATCGCCCGTTTGTGATATTCTTTTCACATCGTCAGCCATATGTGTGAACATCGACGGATATTTCAGGTGTACTCTGAATTGCCTTTCCCACTTCGCTTCGAAGAACACGTATTGTTCACCGATGATTAGCGCATCGCGCGGTACATCAAGATTTGCGTAACATTCACACTTTGTCCATGAGCCAGTTCTCATGTCTGGAGATGGCAAAGGTCTGTTTTTCAGTTTGTGAATATCGCGTAACATGCAGATTTTTAATCACTATGCTTTTTTCGTGGTCACAGTTGTGTGTTGGTATTTGGGCTATGCATTCCATGATATAATTCCTTGTGGTTGTCAGTTTGCAGCAGACGTACTGACCGAGTCGCTGATCATGAAAATATAAGGATCACACTAAATATTGCCGTAGTGAAAAAGTGGACCTTATTCTCTAGTTGTCTCTATGACTGTATGAACATTTGGTTGCTGACAAATATAAGTGGGCGTTGAGCAGAAGGACGTTCCATAGATAGTAAATGCGGTTCCTAACATTATGTCCAAAGGCTAATCGATAGGCGGACCAAACATATCTAGGGCTGCCACGCGGCATCTTTCGTTCTCTGTGCGTCCGTCCTCAACCCGAATATTATAATTTGAAAGAGGATTTACGCACAATGGCTCCTTATTACTGATGTCGACTTTTGATCGGGGTTGGCGTGATTCGGATCCACGCAAATCACATAGGTTCGACTTCTTATTTACTATTCAAAGACAATTCAAAATCACTGCAATTGGAAGTAATGCCTTAAACACCTAAGTTCGTGGGTAGAAATATTTGCTTAACTGGAAGTCAGAAACAGCAGTGTTTGTTGGCTAGACCCTTTCAACCAGATGTTGGCTTGTTGGTCTAGTGAATTTAGGTGAAAACCCGTTTCCCATACATTTTAGGGTGAATTTGCTTACCCAACAGTGGCAAAACATGACTTCTGAGAGTAGTTGATTATTCGGACTACGGAGTTGTCACAAAGTACACTAAACTATTAACTTATCACTTATAACAGGCATGGGGACAATCGATTAAGTACAGCATTTGATTCTGGCTACTTTGTAGGGGTGTGTAATTACGAATTGTTGAGACATATCAGCAAGATTCTGGAAATGGCAGTCTTAACAAGATCGAATCAGACACGGACTGCAGGCAGACCAACTGGTGTATCCGGAAAAAATTGGGATTTCATACAGAACGGAGGTAATTCACCGCTCAACGCACGAATCCCCAAGATACTAGTAATTAAGTCGTTAATCTAAACTTCGACGCACGACACTTACCGGAAGTAATCTCCAAATAAGTAAAAACCCTCGTGAAGCAAACGCTTTGCACGAGCCAAACTTCCTGCTGAAAGATACTCTCTGTAATAAGCGTATCCCGAAAATCCCTAAGAGGAGTTACACACAATGTGGAATGTCTAGTTCTCTGGGTATTTGATACATTTTTGCGTACAGTCAACAACTGTGCG